GTTACAGTTGCATTGATATTGCAGATGCAATCCAGAAGCTGAAATTATCAGTAAAAAGGTTGTTTGCTAAGGAAATCAAGAACATTAATATGAAAGAATAGCTGAAGAGCCCCCGGGTTGCTGAATCCTGAAGCTGACCTGTAGTGGCATCTGTGGAGAGGGGACTGGAGCGTTTGCGCCCGGAGACTCCATAGAGGTTGAACTTGTATCTGCGGGAAGGAGCCAGGTTGGTCACAGTCACTTCATGGGAGGGTCCCTCCACAGGCAACGCTTGGGCTTGGCCATCTGCATCCTTGTACTGGACCAGGAAGGAGTCAAAGCTCCCGGTGGGGACGGTCCAGGAGAGACGGGCAGAATTGCTTGTGACGTCAAGGACTGAGAACTCCCCCAGGCTGGGCTTAATCCCTGTTGTCTCAATTGGTTTCTCCTTCTTTGGTTCCTGAACTGTTGCTATAAGAGATGGGGAATAAAAAGAGTTGATGTCAGCACCATTCCACATTAGGACTGCCTTCTCTTGCAACCAACAATCTTTCGGAAAGAATATTGGAAATTACCCTGCAGGCTTTCTTTGCACATTCCATCCTTCATTAGATTTCATAACATTTCAATTAAGAGTTAAATTTCACTGATTTATCTTTTGTACCAAGTAAATATCCTGGAAGATGGAATGAAAAGAAATCACTAGGAAATACTTTCCTACTTTTTTCATATTAACAGGAAAAGGCTTCCTATTATCAAAGAAAAGACATTAAAGCCGGTTGGCTCACGATGCTGCTGACCTGTCACAGCATCTGTAAAGATAGGTCCAAGGCGCTGTGTCCCAAAGATACCATAGAGGTTGAATCTGTATCTTTGGGAGGGAACCAAACTGGGAACAATGACTTCACGGGAATCTCGGTCCACAGGCAGGGCTTGATCTTTGCCTTCTGAGTCTTGGTACTGGAGCAAAAAGGAATCAAATCTACCGGTGGGGACTCTCCATGTGAGGTGGACAGAGTTGCTGGTCACCTCTGCCACAGACAGATCACTGAGGACAGGTTTGGGTCTGGACACATCTTTCTGTGATGCTGTGGAAATAAAACAAAAGATGACCACCCTCTTTGAGATCTCTAGCTCCTGTCCATCTTTTAAGTCACTGACTATGTTTTTAAGTCTGCAGTCCTTGCTCTAGCTGTGTGAGGATCTGTAGAAATTCCATCCCTTTCATTATTTACAATAGTAAAGCAATATATTGGCAAGCTGTTTTTTTTTTTTTATGGAGTGTATTTAAAGAGTGATAAAAATCTATGTTCATTTTCAATTGCAGCTTTTCCTAAAATACACAGTTTTTACACCTACGAACAAAGGATGTCATGAGAAACCATATTCCAATGCACACATCCTGATGTAGACTTTTAGAATGTGTATTTCCCCAGTGTAAGTCTTTTTCCTCCATACGGACATCCATTTTTGATTCCAACTCTTGGAAACATACTTCTTTTTTCAGGTACATCTCTCTTAATGTCTCCTTTGTGTCGTTGTGCATTCTCTGGTGACAATACCTCCTCCAAATTCTCTAAGAAGCCAAACTGAGTAGGAAGGCATGTACAGAACTACCCTAATATGGTAGTGAGCAGTGACTCTAATTTGAAAAATAAAAGAGGGAGACAGATGAGGAATGAAGGCACATGTCCTCACCCCCTGGCATGTGCCTCATGTTTCTTCACTACCATTACCTAACTCAGTGAGAAAAGCACCCAGTGAACGATTCTGGCTGCAAGAGAGAAGTAGCACTCCGCTCATCTGCAAAAATTGCATGTTTTTCATAGATAATTTGGAACAGATTTGTGTTTTTAAACAATGGCTGCACGAAGTCAAGACATACTTGGGTGGTTGGTTTCTGACCCAGGCTGACATGCAAACCTACCTGTAGTGATTTGCAATCCACGGTTTATTGCCTTTTACATTGTATGAATCCAGTAATTCTGGCTTATTGAACAAACCAAGGGCAAAATAAACCATGGCTTAGTGTTTGTGTGAATCCTGCTCCAGATAGAACTGCAGCCTTCCTATCAAGTCATATCAGCCAGAAAAAGGCAACATCTAGCTTATACAGGCTGGCAAGGTAGGTAGGTAGGTAGACAGACAGGTCACACATAAACATACACAATGTAACTTCAGTTTACTGGGACTCAACACAGCAGATGTCACATGCAATAGAGCAAATTTGTGTAACTCATTATGCAAATTGTGCATGTTGCATTGTTGATCTGTGTTGACTTGAAGCAGTGATTTTAAACTAAGCTGTCTTCACTCAGCTTTTAAGGAAACCCTATCTGGCAGCTTCTTAATATGGAAGTGGAACAGGGTATGGTCAAAAAATTTAAGATGATGCCTGCAAAGGTGCAACAAAGTTGCAGCTGGGTTTTATGTGTGTTGCATGTGCAACTTCTGACTTTTTGGACCTCATCCTGCAGACACCCCTGGCGTGGAGGCAGATGATGGATCTTTTAGGCCCCCGTTGGGGGTTTCCAAGAGCTGTATGGGGAGGCCTGGGAAGTTGAACTCAATCTGCAGGGTGAATCTTTCCATCCTGGCCAAGATGCAAAGATACGTTTACTATCACGTGGAGATTGGTTCAGAGGGAAGCTGAAATCAAGCATTATCCTCTGGAGAAAGCAGGGAAAGGGACACATCTTGCAGAGAAATCCTGTAGCTACGTTAACCATTCCCCTGACCTGTGATGAAAGTTATAGAGGCAGGACCTAGACATCTGTGGTTGGAGATGCCATAGAGGCTGAATCTGTATCTGTGGGAAGGAGCCAGGTTGGGGACGGTGATTTCCTGGGAATCTCCCTCGGTGGGCAGCTCTTGGAGTCTGCCCTCAGCATCTTTATATTAGATTAATAGTAGTTGATCTGGCTTTGGGCTCAACCTCATTTCAAATTCAAGAGGAATACCGTGCCTGGAACCCATTGCTCACCTGTCACTGTCTCCAAGGACACTGGGCCAAAAGGCTTACGGCCTACGAGCACATAAAGGTTGAATTTGTATTTTCGAGACGGCACTAAGTTAGAAATCATGGCTTCTCGGGAATTCCTATCCATCCGATGCACCTTGGGTTTGCCCTCAGCGTCTTTATATTGGATCACAAAGGTGTCAAAAGCCCCAGTGGGGGTATCCCAGGAAAGGTGGGCCGAGGTGTCTGTGACTTCTAGAAGAGAGAGACCTCCCAGGCTGGGCTCCTCTGGTTCTGCTGCTGACAAGAAAAAAGAAGGGAAGGAGATGGTTAGGAGTTTCTCTGAAGAAGAGGATAGCGGGGATGATGGGAGAAGACAGTGCAGTATCTATGAATCTCACAGGTCTCACTATGGTGAATAAGGAACATATACCAGGTTATACTGTGTTTATATAGGCAAGGAAGAACGTTTAGCTTACAAAAATCAGTTTTAGCCTGTTAAAAAGCTAGTAGCTTGGGACAAATTCAGAGTAAGGGCCACAGAGGTAGGTTGTGGGTTTTTGAAAGATGATCTGGTGGAGGGAGAATCAGTCTGCTCATCTTTCAGGGACTTAGGGAGAATTGTTAAATATCAGGCTGAGGAAATCTGTCAGACCAAAAGTCCATTTAGTGCAGGTGGGCAACTTTTTCCCATCTAAGGTAATATAAGTGAGAGATGTGGGGTTGGATAGAGGGAATGGGGAGGCGGGGAGGATAAAAAATGATACTACAGAGAACCAGCAGTTTTGCACTGAATTTTGATAGGATGGGAAAGCATGTGGCCAACCTTATTTCATAGCCTTGTTCCTCTCTCAACTGCCTTTAAATAAAGAATTTTTGAAAAAAAAATCAATTAAGTGAAAATACACATTTTGTTCTCAACAGCCAACCTGATGTCATGGAACAAGATGGGTGTGCACACAATTTTCTTATGACTGGGAAATAAATTAGTGGGCTCCAAGGCCTCAAGAGGCATGGCTAATATATGTAGTCCTTGCTTACCAACTGCCTCATTTAGTGACTTTTCGAAGTTATGACAGTATTAAAAAAATATATTTGTGACCAGTCCTCGTATTTACAACCATCGCAGCATCCCATAGTCACATGATCACCATTCAGGTGCTTCGCCACTGGTTTGTGACAACAGAGTTAATAGAGAAGGCAGGAGTAAAATCATAAGTTGCGGTCACATGATGTCTCACTTAGTGACTGTGCTGCTTTGCTTAATGACCAAAGCTGAAGTGAGGTTGTAATCCTATCACAGTCATGTGATTTTCAGCTTAGCAACCATGCGCTTAGTGATGGACTTGCAGGTCCCAATTATGGTCACTAAGCGAGGACTACCTGTAACAGCATGGCATTACCAAACTTTCAGCTCCTATTGGAGCAGGATTGAAGGTTCAGAAGGCATACCTTAAATTTTGCAGAATCTAATAATACTTGTTTTATAGCTGCCCATCTCACATACGTGACTCTAGGCGGCCTTTGCCCTTTAAAAGCCATCCAATCTAGGAAAAGATCATGTTGGTTTTGCAGTTGTTTTTTTTTAAGTGCTGCAAAATTTAACTCTCTGCCCCTTAAAAAAAAAGGCGATTTAGCCCCACTGCTCTTTGGGTGCTTCTAGGCCACAAAAAGGGTACTTGGAGGCTGAATCAAAGCAGACTTAGCCCTGTCCGCCCAGCAACGGGCATCAGAATCCTGAGCCATGACACAGATTGCATGAGGACACAGATGAAACACAATGGTCAGTGAGTCAGAAAATGTCCTTCATCACGTCAGAAATATATATTCTACTATCTTCTTTGCTAGAAAAAGGAAATCTGAAACAGAAAAAAACCAAGATCCCAGTTGGAACTTGATGAATTCAGGGAATATAGTGAGGTACCTGTAATTATCTTTGTCAAGAGGGGAGCACTGTAGGTTCCATCAGGTATCTCTCCATGTAACTCTATTTCATACTCAGTACCAGGGTGTAAACCCATTATGTTGACACTTCTCTCTGTTCCTGGAATGCTGATTTTTTCTGGGGGTGCATCATATTTGGGGTCCCTATAGTACAGGGAAAAGTTGTGGAAGGAATTGGGCGGGGCTGACCAAGTCACACGGAGCCGGTTTGGAGAGACGTCGGTCACCTGTAGGTTCCTCAATGGAGCTTCAGGAGTTAAGGTGGGCACGGCGATGGTTTGGATCTTGTCAGTTGTTGGTGAACTTGGAGCTGAAGGAAAGGAGATGTGAGGTGAGGGAACCAGAAACTCTTTTTTTTTTTTTTAAGCTTCAGCAACCTCCTCCCTTAGTTCAGTCTGGCCAGCATATTTCTCTACTTCCTGGATGTTGGTGAACTTGGAGCTGAAGGAAAGGAGATGTGAGGTGAGGGAACCAGAAACTCTTTTTTTTTTTTTTAAGCTTCAGCAACCTCCTCCCTTAGTTCAGTCTGGCCAGCATATTTCTCTACTTCCTGGATTTTACAGAAGACACCTTAGCCATTGACTGTGTGTGTGTGTGTGTGAGGGTGTGTGTGCGTGTCTTTTGATTGCAGTTTGAATCCCTGAGCCTTTGAAATGTGACAGATTATTACATGGGAATCAATAACAGCAAATCTGTATAATGTTCCAAATCAGTGTTTCTCAACCTTGGTAACTTTAAGAAGTGTGGACATCTTAAAGTTGCTGAGGTTGAGAAACACTGATCTAGACAATGCAGGTTGGATACGGACAATATGCTTATCTTGGCTTTAAAAACCATAATTGCTGCATTCCCATAACCTGCTATGCCCAAGCAAATAACCCATTTTATGGCTCAGTGTGATGGTTCACTCAACCAGCTAAGGTTGAGGCCAGCTTTCACACAGTGGGATGTACAAACTACCTGGCAATATTTGTGGGAACCCAGCCCTATGGTTCAATTCAGCTGAGAAGTATGCTAGCCAGATATATATCAGAGCTGAACTTCCTGCTACTGGAAGGAGGAGGAGAGGGAGAAGGAGAAGGAGGAGAGTTTTTAGAATAGATTCTCTTCATTTCAGAAAACAAAACCTAGATATCCCAGTTAACTGCCAGACAGACACTTTGAGGCTGAGGTTTGGATATGTGATGGGGCAGCCACGGCAGCAGCAGGAGGAGAGGCAGAGCAGCAGCACGGGCTGGCTTGACAATGACAGCCAACATTGCTGGAACGGAAACTGAAAATAAAGTTTTCAGCCACATAAAAGCAACATGAAGGCAAGAGCTGGAAGCCTGGAAGAAGAAAGTGATTAAACACAAAAGACTTCAGATTCACTTGAACAACATCGGCAGCTGGCTGTGGCTAAAAAATAAAGTGAGTGGTGTGTTACAATAACACGCGGGACAGGAAAACAGTAACACCAGAACAACGTTTCATACAGAGTCAACATTCAGCCTGATTTCAACATCCACATGTGAATGTTTGGACGTTCTGATTTTGATTTCTTCAGTTTTGACAAAACCTTGGCTTTCACTGGTACACTTTTGAGCCAGCATACTGAGAAATGTTTTACTAAATTGTGTTAAATCTTTCAGTAAATATTGGACGTGATACTCTTATGTATATACGTTCATATGTAGACTATTTTTATAGGGAAATAGGGGGCTGTTGTGGGGTGATTTGGGGTGAATTATTGTTTCTCAGGACTGCTGTAAGGATAAAAATGGGAACTCCTTCAGGGGAAAGTCAGGTTTAAAATTATTAAGAAATAATTCAGTATTTTTCCAGCCACTTCTCTGTGTTCCCTAAGAACTTTGCATGTAATATCCACAACCATAATAAAATTCTTCCTCCTGTGATTCAATTTAATGGGAAAATATCCCATATTTTAACTCTTTGCAAGTAGACGTCAAATAAACTCAGGACAACATAGAAAAGACAGACGGGAAACACTCTGTCTATAAGAAGAGACGTGTAGCAAAAACAGAACAGACCGAACAAACTTTGGAGGAGCAGGTAAGGGCACATTTTGGCTTGAAGAAGACAATTAGCTGGTGGATGCTGTGACATCTGCGTGAAAAACAATATGGCTCAGAAGAACTTTCGTCCAAGAGAGGAAGCTACATAGCAATCTACAGTCCAAGCCACTTTGGGGAGAACGTGAAAGCAACGTGTAATTAAATATTTGGCGATGTGTGGGTGCCGCAGAAGCTCTGCTTTGCAAGAATATAAATAAGGCATGTGATGGTTCTACTGCAGGTGAAGGAAGAGAGCAAACTGCCTTGGTGGATGACGGCCCTACCAACCCTGGTACCTGTGGCAGTTATAAAGGAGTAAGATTTAGAGGAATGTCCTTTCATGACGCCGTGAATTTCCATCAAGTAGGTTGTTCCAGGAGACAATCCGGTGATGATTGCTGTAGAAGCATCTCCGGGGACCACTAACTCCCTTCTTTCTCCATTTGCCATGTTTTGGTAGCGGATGACCACATTGTCAGAGACCCCTCTCACACTGTCCAAAGACACCTCAATATGGTCTGAGGAGGTGGTCACCACCGCTGGCTTGGCATGGTCTGGACGGAGATATCCATCTGAGTAGGCGCTATCTGCTTCTGCTATTGGGAATTCCCTTTGCCGAGGCAAATTGCTAGTTTCTTTGACAAGACGTTCTTCAACCCTCTCTTGAAATTCAATTGGCTTTGCACGTTTGAGATAGAGGTATATGTCCCTGGCCACGCTCTGGATTGTCTGATTGCCCCGGAGAGGGAAATTGATGGCACGGAGGTAGCTCTCTAACCGTTGAAGGAGAGTCCCATTGTATGGGGAAAGTTTGGATGAGATATTCTGCGTCATTCTCTTCAGGAAATACTCCTTAGTCAGTAAGGTGGTGTTGGATGGGCTGCGACCTGGATGTGGCTTAGTGCCTGGTTTCTTCACTTCAGGCTCAGAAGAGGAAGTATCTGGCTTTTTATGGGAAGAAGGGGGTGGTGTCAAGTAGTGGCGGCTTGGTTGGATTGGAGCTGGTGCTGGTAGGATCAAAAAGGGAGGAGGTTATGGCAAAGTACTCAGTGGGAATAAGTCATGGAGGTGAGATGTATGGCTATCAACCAGAACAGTGTTTCTCAACCTTGGCAACTCTAAGTTGTGTGGACTTCAACTCCCAGAATGCTGGCTGGGGAGTTTTGGGAGTTGATGTCCACACATCTTAGAGTTGCCAAGGTTGAGAAACACCGAACTAGAAATATGGAGCCCTGCTTATCTAGCTTTCCAATTTCCCCACCGCTCTAAACTAGCCTGGATTGGAGTTGGCACACCCCACTAAAAAGTTATGCTTGCTGACTCATCCGTGGTGCTGATCTTGAATTTCCCATAAGCTGCAATAAAACAAATGGAGTTAGTTTCAGCCTTTTTATACATCACTTCCAGGAACCTCCTATGGTCTGATTTTCAGAGATCTGCGGGTGATATAGAGGAGGTTCAAATAAAAAAAGGAAATTACAATCATGACTGCTGTAGGAAAGAAGGAAGAAAGGGAAAAATGAAGAAAGAAGCAAGATATCCTTGGTAGGAAAAAAGAGAATGTAATTGTGGGAAAAGGAATGCTGGGAAGGTTGCAAATGGTGACCACATGACCACAGGGAAGCTGGGATGATTGTAAGCACGAGGGCAGGTCATAAGTCACTTTTTTCAGTACCATTGTAACTTCGAATGGTCGTTAAACAAATGGCCGAGAACTACCTGTATTGTTTAAAGTTTGCGGTAACTTATGCTTTATAGTTCTTGGTATTGGCAATCAAATAAAAAATGTATTAACTCTCCTATAAGGTTCTAGAGTGACAGGTGGTATTTAAATATGTGATTTAAACAATCCAAAGCTGGCATCATTGCTCTGCCTATTAAAATACTTCTTTTAATTTTTTTTCCTTAATTTAGTAGCCTCCAGGTGCGTTGAGGAAACAAATCCCTGAAATCTCAGCTTAGGACAAAGCTCATTGAATATATATTGATCAGAATGGTAAAAACAGTCCACCTTCCCTGAAGCTCTCTGTAACATTTCTATCTCTGTGCTCCATACAGGTAGTCCTCGGTTACTGACTGCCTCATTTAGCGACCATTGGAAGTTACAATGGTGTAAAAAAACCAGCTTTGTGACCAGTCCTCACATTTACGATCGTCAAAGCATCCTGTGATCACATGATCACCATTTGCATGCTTCCCAACCAGCTTGCAACAAGCAGAGTTAATGGAGAAGGCAGAAGTAAAATCGCAAGTTGCAGTCAGGTGATGTCTCGCTTAACAGCTGACTGGAAAATGACACCATAAGTCCGTCGCAGTCACGTGATTTTCTGCTTAGTGATTGTGTCACTTAGCAACAGAATTGCTAGTCCCAATTGTGGTCGCTAAGTGAGGACTACCTGTATACTGTTCTGGTAGATTCTATTTATCTCTTCCTGCAATTGCTGAGTGCCTGGATAGCTCCTAATGCACTGTATATAGTCATTTCCAGTGCAAGGTTCTGTGAGTTCAACTGGTAGAGAGTGTGAGCTCCATAAAATAACATTTGGTTACCCATGTCCGATGGCTAGCCAAATGAAACTGGATGAATTAGGATGAAACTGGTCACATGATGCCTCCTGGTGGTCAATATATCTGTATCTATATCTTTCTACATGTATCGCTATACAGTATGTATCTCTCTCTATATGTCTGTCTGTATATAGTGACATTTTGGGTTCCTGAGAATTTTATGACTCTCCACATGCTGGAAGGATTTGAAACATAACCTCCTATCCCATCCTTTTGATTTCTTGGACCACACAAACAATACCACTTCCTTGCTTCATCCTCTTATCCCGTATCTTATCATACTTTGATCATTTCTATTGGCTGGAGCTAATGGAAAAATGGGGCCCTGTAACTTCTGGCAGTATAAAATCCCCTCTTCCCTTTGGCCTGTCTGCAAACAGCAATCCTGTGTTGATGCTCCCTCCTCGGTACTGTAGCAGGCAATCATGGATATCCATGATATTATGCAATCTTGTGCCTTCCCCTGCCTTTTTAGCCACATCACTGGTCATTTGTCATTCCATGACAAATGGGGAGTACAGATGGGGAGAATTCAACATATGGCTACCATTTAGGGCAGCATCTCTGAGGTGCTGGTCACTTCACACAAAGATCCAGCAAGCCCAACATGCCGCATTCAATATTCTGTGCCCGGTGGCCTCTAGGAAAATACAGCCAAGCTCCTGTTTCTTTTTCTGATCCTTTCCAGACAAAAGCAAGTTCTAGACCAAAGCAAGTATCAGCCAACCCTCTAGTGATCTACCTGTGGTGCTGACAACAACGCTGGTGGCCCGGCTGCTCTCACCACTCTGACGGGCAACCAAGGTGATGCGGTAGCGCATCCTGGGCTCCAGGTCTTCCAAGGTAACTCGCTCAGGGGCTGCTGGCAGCTCTACACGTTTCATGGCTTGGATGGGCCGAGTGGAAACCAGAGGGACGTAGCTGAGGATGTAGCCATCGGGGCGAGAAGCAGGTGGATCCCATTGCAAGGTCAGGGAGTCTTCTGTCACTTGGGATGATTGCAGGCCACTGGGGGGAGCCACTCCTGGAAGAAAGGAAGAGACCTGTGAAACACAAAACATTGTGATGGGGGTGGGGGTGGAGGGGGGAAACAATTGGAGCTGGCAAGAGACAGCCTTGAGCCTAATGAAAGGAGTAAGCAGTAGGACTCCCAGATCTGGCCCGTAATATCCGAGTGACTTCTAGATGGCAGTGAGGAGCCAGAGGAAAAAAAAGGGACATCTCTTTGCTGCCACCTAGTGGTCACTGAGATCCTTGCGGCCCAGACCACTTAGCCCTAAACAAGAAAAACGACCAGAAATAACAGGAAGTGTAGCTATTTAATGTAACTAAGGATCAAATGCCGGAGAAGCTGGGAAATATAAACCATTATTTCAATAATGGACTGATTTATCTCCCAGCAAAGTAGGATAATTAAAGCCATTTTTAAGGGTTTCCCCCCCCCTCCCTCTTACTAATTTCCTAGATTATTAGAGCAGGTCCATGCAGGATCTGAATGAGGATGTTCACTATTTGTTTTTATTTATTTGTAATGACACCTGAAGTGTAAAAACGGGGGGAAAAAAGTAATAGAAGGAAGGGGGGGGAGAGCACATTAAAGTTTGACAAAATATAAAAATTACATAAAGAATTTACCAAGACATGAGAGAGGAAAAAAGCATTCTAGTATTATTGTTATGAGTCACATTAAACTGGATTTGATGCTAATTATTTGATTGGTATGATCGGCTTGAATGTATGCAAACATCAGACGATGAGGTCAGGTTTGAAACACTGTTAGCAAAAAAAAAAAAATGCAAACCTATTCATTTACTTTTGCCATTTAATAATAATTTCAAATTGCCTTCAGGCAGGGCTCTTGATCCTCTTCTTCATCTGCCATGATGACACTATAAGCACCAGTAAGTTAGCAATCAATAAATCAATTTCTGCTTATGCCTAAAGAGGCTGTATTGTGAGCTCCAACCATTCCACAAGGTAAGGAAGTGTGGGGGGAAAAAGTGAGAAGGGCGGTTGCACACACATCGAACAGGTCAGTGAGAGAAAAAATGGGGAACGCAGAAGGCAGACAGAAATGGAGACGTGGCTCCAGACTACATACGCGTACGCACGGTCTGGGTGACGGGGGGTCCGTGGTGCGGCCCTTTTTCTGCCCGAATGGTGACCGTGTATTCCTCCCCCGGTTTTAATCCGTTGTATTCAAAGACTGTTTTGGTGCCAGGCAAGTGTATGGATTCGCCCGCCTGAGGATCCCGCTGTACGTTGGGAAGGAAAAGAGGCAGAATGAAGCCACATACCTCTGCTTATGAATGTCTAGTGCAATCATTTTGTTTGGAATGAGATTGGGGGGGCGGTGGGGGAGATCAGTCTGAAAAATCTTGCAAGAAACCCAGCCTCCTGTAATTCTAAATAACATGGTCTCTGTGAGACCATTTTCCATGCGTGTTGGAAAAAACACTGCTATTCTCATTCCTTTCCGGGAGTGAGTCTTTTTACAAAAAAGTTTACAAAGTTCAAGTTTGCAAAGTTAAAGTGATTAAAAAAAAAAGTTTACAAAGCTAAAGTGACTTAAAAAAAAAAGTTTACAGAGTGAAAGTGATTTTAAAAAAAAGTTTACAAAGTTAAAGCATCAACATGTACACATCCACAGGCCCAGCAACTAGCTTTAAAATAAAAGTTCCTTTTTTGCATGTTCTCAAGAACATGCTTCCCTAATCTCTGCCCCAGGAGCTGTTACAGGAGGGTTTCAATCATATAATGGCTATAATGTTTGCCTGACGTGCAGAGTTGCTGATTGAAAACCTGGCAGCAATGTTTGGTTTTGTTTTAATCACTGTTTTTCTTTCCTGGAGCTACCCACTTACTGCTTTTCTTTTAATCAGTTCACTGATGCACTGTTCCATTGTTTGGAGAGAGGATTTCACCCCAGTTGTCAAAGAGCCCAAATAAATAAGGTGTTTCAACGTGGTTCTTTCAATTGATTTTTGTGCTATTTCCTTGTTCACGGCCCAAAGTTTCACTGGAAGATGAGCAACCATATAAATTGGTTGAATAAATAAAAAAATAAATTGACCTGGGACTGAGCTAAATCAATCTCTCTCTCTTCTGTGTTTCAATGGTGCATTGATGAACTAATTAAAAAAAAAAACTTCACTGGAAAAGTATGTAGCTATTTTTTAATGTACATTGCTCGTGTGATGCACATAGAAAACAGCACAGTATTCATGGCTGCCATTTTGACTCTTTTGACAGACACACACACACACATACACCATGGTTGGTCCTGCCTAGAAGGAAGTTAAATGCAACAAGGAAATTGGACAGCACAGTTTGAGCTGACACAAGCTGGAAAATACTATTCTCCATGTGGAGCAGAAAAACACAGACAGAAAATGTGTTTGAGATGGGCTGGGGCCACACACAGGACAATATTGCCCACTTGTGCCTTCCAGAAAAGGAAAACCAGGGCCGGTGGATCGGCCTTCAGTGACAAAAAGACAAAAATTCTAGTAATTTCTTTACAGTAGGAGCTAAGATGGACAGAAATGAGTGGGCTTTACTTTTACTTATCCATTTCTTCCTGAATCAAGAGGAGGAGACAAAGGGGGGTTATACAAAGGCAGGAAGTCAGCTGGTGCCAGAAAAAAAATCTTGCCCTCTTTGCAACAATTCTGAGAGTATTGGGGTCCTTCAGATAGTGAAAAGGAATCTACTGGTACAGTATGTTAATGATGTCTCATATTCAGCCTGAATATTTATCAATAAGCCTTTTATCCCAGAATGGAATTCCTTCGAAGCTGTTGGTCACCCCGAAACCTCTCATTACTCCAAAGCAGCATGAGCACCCATAACTATATATTTTGTTTGATTACATCAGGAAATTCCAAACCCAAATTGTGGGGAGACTGATTCAGAAAATGAGAAAATTGCTAGAAGACCCATGCCTAAACGTTAGATGATAGAACCTGTATGCACAAAGATCTGCTCAGAGATGGTCATTGCATCTGTGCCTGACATTTTTCCAAGGAGACTTCACTGAAGCAGTAACATTGACACCTCTCTAGACTGAGTGGCTGGAACGATCTCTTAACTGTGAGAGCAAAATTATTCATATGCAGAGGAAGCGGCTCATTTTGTTTCCTCATGTGTCACTACTCAGGGGAACAAAGCAGACAGATAGAGACTTGGCCAAAGCTCCATAGTGGTCGTAATCCAATACTCAAGTTGCTAGACCACAACGCTTTCAGGAGGTTCAGTGCCAGATGACTTTGAGTGAGTCAATCTTCTATTTTGGCAACATACCTCAATGGCGCTTCATGAAGAAGTTGGCGTGATGGGGAGGGGAGAAGCTTCCTAAGCAAGGAAGAAAATGCTTGGTGTTGGAGGACACCAAATCGTATTTGATCTATTTACTAAACACATTGATATACCTGCATTTAAAGGACATTATTCAAAGGCACTGGTGTGTAACCGGTTCGAAGGAAGCCAAAGAGCATTCTCCTTTTGACACCAAGCAAATAGAATTCACAAAATTTGCCATCACAAATTGATGGCTGCTGTCTCTGATGGCTTTAAAGGAAGGATTAGACATGAAAAAGGAGACTGAGGTCCATCACTGAGACTATAGGTGACTTGCAAACATAGAGGCAGTGTAATGGTCTGTGGGAATGACCTTGGGAGACAGGAGGAAGAGCTGCAGACTAGGCAACAGTCAGATAAGA